AATAGCATGTATTGCGATACTACCTCATTCCCGCTTCATTTCATCTTCTCTTTGTCCTCACCTAATGATTATTTTTATATAGTTAACTTCATGACTGACTCATAGCCTCCTTTCTGCCTCACCTGCCCCTGCCACCATTCCGTTCTGTGTTTTCCATTCCCACCTGATGGAATACTTTGTCCCACCCTGCATACCCAGGTTTCCTCTACCCACCTACACTCATCATCCTCGACTTCATCCTCTTCTCAGTCACTACACAGCCATAGTCCTTCTCTGAAGCCCTGTCCTCCCCTTCCCTTCCTTTGTGGCTTACTGCTTCCAGGCAGACTTCTGTTATCCCACTTAGAAAACCTCACTGAACTCATTTCCTCACACAACTCTGCCAGGGAGGGACAGGAACAAGCTCTTAACCTTCAAATCCCACTATGCCTTGCATACATAGAGCCCTGGTGGTGCAGTGGTTAAGTGCTCAGTTGCTGATCTAAAGGTCAGTGGTTTGAAAGAAAGGTATGGTCTTCTACTCCATAATGATTTACGTACAGTCTGGAAAACATAAAAGTGTCATGGGGTCAGTGTCTGACCTCTGACCTCACAAAGGGGAAGGAGAATCAAACTCCACGTCAGCCCGAGGCTGATTCCCATGAGGCAAGAGTCAGACCTGCCTCCACCCTTCAACCTACTAACCAAGTCTGACACCAGCTGTCCCTCCGACAGCACTCTCTCGATCTTTGCTGGGATTGATAATTCTTTACAGTGGCCATATAAACAGATAGTACCCACGATTATGGGGCTTATTATGAAAGTTGTTTTTAGGTGCCATTGAATCAGTTCCAATCCATAGCAACCCAGTATAGGGTTTCCGAGGAGTGGCTGGTGGGTATTGACCTTATGATTAGCATTCTAATGCTTGTCTTACAGCACCACACCAGGACACTAGGTTACAATTCAGGATCAGTATTGCTCAGGGTACAATTCTTCATTCAGGGCAGCCTCTTTCCAGCCACACTCATAGGCAGACCCCTCTCTGACCCTCAGCTCCTTGGCCTGACCTCGGTTCTGTTTGGGCAGTATTACTTAGCTCCTTTAGTGCTGCGGATAAATGCCCAAAGGGCATGCCACTCCGCCATAAGCCTCATGCTAAAGGTACTCAGTCCAACTCCCTAATTAAGTGCCTGGAGGCACCCCACTCCACAGGGAACCCTCTGCTCTGTCTCAAGCTCTTGCTCCTAGATTTACTTCTGCGGTTCCTCTGCCACTTCTATGGTATTATAGCTTTCTGTCTCAACATTGGGCAAGTTTTTCGTGCAGGGATCTCATGGTTCAAAGGGCACAGTCTAATCTGGATCTTTCTTGATGGTAGTGGGATTTCCCCCCCTTTCTGCTTCTGTGATTATGTATTTTATACCCTGGAGGATGGTAGAATTGACCAATCTCCACATTAAAGTTCCCAGTTTTTATAATCACAATTAACCATGTTAACAGTCATTCCCATTGGATCATATAATCTTATCGGCATCTTCCCCCACTTTCTCTTATCCATACTCATCAAGAAAAGAGGAAATACACCCACTCTGTATGGTCCCATCCAGTGTTTGGTGGGAGTTACAAAGACTATGAGTAAAAGAGTCAGTATCAGATAACTCACTGCACTACAAAACCCATGGGAGAGTTCTGTCCTGTCCTGTGTAGTCACGTGATGGCTCTGCATTGTGTTTTTTGTTTTTGTTGTTATGCCTTTTGCATGTTGTTGTTGTTGTTGTTATGTGCCGTGGAGTTGGTTCCGACTCATAGTGACCCTGTACAGGGTTTCCGAGGCTGTAAATCTTTACGGGAGCAGAAAGCCTCATCTTTCTCCCACGGAACAGCTGACCTTGTGGTTCACAGCCCGATTCGTAACCACTACGCTGCCAGAGCTCCTTTTGCATAGCAGATGCTTAATCAGTGTATAATAAAGGAAGGGAGGGACAGATTAAGCAAGGTCAGATAGAGTAGATAAATGAAGATAAGAATTGAACAGTGATCATTAGACTTTACAATGTGGAGGTAATTGGTAACCTTTGTCAGCGTCCATGTAGGGGCAGGTTGGAGATAGTCTGATTATATTAGAGGAAAGGGTAGGAAGCAGGGTAGGAAGAGAAAGAATGGATGAGGGAAGAAAAGTGTATGGAAAATGAATAGAAGAGACATGGACAAGGAGAAGAGGCAGAGAGAGTCAGTACTGCCTGTCACAATTGGGACACCAATCTCGTGGTATATCCCTCGGACAAGCAGTGTGTTTGACCCATACCACATGTCCTCAGAATGGCTGTTCAAGACTCAGAAAGGAAAGTCTTAGAGCTAGTATTCACGAAGTTGAAATCTTGCTTTAGAAATCAATTGGCCTTCGCTTCCCACGAGCTCCTGCTGTTTTTAGCTCTTGTTCCTTGTTTAGTGGGTAGTTGCTTTTTGTGACTGTGCATTTTCTTTTTAGGTGGACAAGTCCCTGTCTTATGATTTATGTCTCTTAATAGCAAACACAGTATCCTTAAAAAAAGCAAAGACGGTATTTTGCTTCACTGCTTTTTGGTTTTCATGACCTTCAAATTATAAACTAATAGTGCATCTTAAATGACACTGACAGATACAAGTTTCTTTTGTCTACATTTATAAATATTTAATTTTTTCATATGAAACAACTATTAAATAGTAGAACCCACCCTCCGACCACCACTGTTACCTTTTGCTCAGGTTTTGCTATCACCGCCTGTTCACATTGCTCCATCTGAACTACGGCTCTTACTGCCTCCAAACACCTTTTTAATTTTTCTAAGATTTGCCTTGGAGCACTGTGTCTCCTTTGTAGCCTACCTAAAAAAGTTGACTCACCCCCTCTTTGCCTCATTGTGCCCCAAACAGTCTTCTCTCTCTCTGTTGAACCCATTTGCTCATAAAGGGGGCTTCAAAAGTTTGTGGGAGAAATCCCACTACTGTTCATTCCATTTCCACAAATGTTTTGCATCTCCCTTGAATGTCTGCATATTTGAACGAGATTGGTCTTTGTTTTTAATGCAGACAGTTTTTTTTGGCTTGTGTTTAGAGTTTTAAATTGGTATCTTGCTTTTTTGAGTTAGTGTTATAAAGGAGCTCTGGTAGCATAGTGGTTACGAATCGGGATGCGAGCCGCAAGGTCAGCAGTTTGAAACTACCAGTGGTTCCGCAGGAAAAAGATGAGGTGGTCTGCTCCCGTAAAGATTTACAGCCTCAGAAACCCTGTGTAGGGTCGCAATGAGTCGGAACCGACTCCACAGCACAAAAACAACAACAACATTATATCAAAAATAGTTTCCTATTAAATTATTTTTGTATATATAATTTTAATAAGGAGTCATGGTGTGGTGCTGTAGGCTAAGCACTTGACCACAAGGTCAGTTTGAACTGCAAGGTCAGCGGTTCAAACTCACCATCCACTGCTCGGAAACCCTATACATGTTGCTGTGGGTCAGAACCAACTTGACAGCACTTAACAACAACAACAACAACAATTTGAATAACTGCTTATTTCATCTAGTGGATGACCACCCCCATTATTGGCATTCAGATTGGCTTTAAATTTTTTCAATAAAAATTTATGACTGCCTGTCAAATCATCAATGAAAACTATCTCTTTAAATTATTCTTTAAAATGCTATCTATTTATTTGTTATTAGATAGAACAAAATTCCATTGAAGTTATGTTCACAGACAGTAGAAATAGCTTTGCATCTGCTGAAAATCTTTCTGCAAATAATTTGATTGTTGGGAGCATCCAGAATAAAGTATAATGTCCAACTTCATGTGTATTTGTCCAGCAATTTTTCTTCTAAATCAACCCAATATGATAAATATAAATATATGTATAAGGTACCATCATTTGTACTGAATTAAAGAATGTGGGGCAGGTTGGGGAAAGGGAGAAGAACGGCAAAGAAAGTACTACAAGTATTAGTTTCCTGATGAGCTAAGATAGAATATAAATGAGTACTAGCAGTGTCGATAAATTTGTTGGGTAAGGAAATTTTCTTGAAATAGGGTAAGAATGTTTCCCCAGAGCTGAGGAGAGTTGAGTTGTATAGTCATCTGCTTTAGATGAGGAGTTATAGGAGTTATCTTGAATCTATTCTTTAACATGTATATAGAACATCATGGAGACTGAATGACTGTTACTTTGAAATGTATGAAGCATTAGATAATGAGTCAGCAACTCTGGGTTCAGATTTTGGTATGGCCTCCTCAACTAGCCATGAAACCATTAGCACAATTCTTAACCCCAGGGCCCACCGTGCCTTCATCTAAGCCGCCCTGAGAGGTTGAAATGAGAAGAGTGTGTAAGTGCCTGAAAGCCAGAATGTAGCTCACAAAGATAAATTGTCTTCTTATTCGTAAGGAGGCAGATGGCTCCACTCTGCACATAGCCAATTGGGAACATGGCATTTAGATAAATATGGATACTTTAGGTTTTAGATTGTGAATATTTTAGCAATTCCAAACCAGAAAAAAAAATATATTTAATTAACTTTGCTTTTGTGTCTACAGTATAGGATGTAATGTAAATTATAAATGTTGGTCATATATGAATTTTAGAAAGGGAGTGGGTTTGTGTGTGTGTGTGTGAGGTTTTGTTTTTTGGGGTTTTTTTTTTTGTTTGTTTTTTGGTAAATTATGCTTAAGATGCTTTGAGAGAGAGATAAAAATATAAATCTATGGGGGAACTGGGTAATCTCTTGAAAATCTTTAAATGTATAGCATCTGCTTCATTGTAAGTTTATATAAATGTATTTCTGTTTTATAAATCCACCACCTCAGCTTGATTAGGTTTAGGTTCTCTGAAATCCCTTAGGAGGTAGTTAACGGATGGCTTGTTGGAGGACAAAGTAGGCTGCTTAAGTTTCAGAGCCTGGTGCATGAAGGGATATATCCATTGTTAGTTAGCACAGCCTTGCTCTGAAGTTGACTTCAGTAACTATGGGCCTGCTCTGCCACAGATTCCGAGTGCGAACAGTCCCTGAGCCGATTGGAAGTAGTGACGGCACACTCTTTTGAAGTGGAAGATCATCCCAGCAGTAGAAAAGCCAGGATGTCTGAAGGCAAAGACTGTGGTGGAGGAGATTCTCTCTCCAATGGTATCAAAAAGCACAGGTAGGTGGCCTCTAACAGATGCCGTGGCTCGCTTTTTACTATAAAGCCAAATTGAATTCATGAAGAGATTTTTCTTTTTTTATCTTCATATTTTTCTCTGTATGGGGTATTTATATTATTATGTTACATTTATAGTCTTACAGTTATAATTGTAAGAAAAGAGCATGAAACTTTGTGTTAGCAACCATGTTTTTAGGGGAACATAATACAGGGTTACTATGAGTTGGAACCGACTCAACAACACTTAACAACAACAACAAATAAATCCTTTAGTGGGCTATTTAGAAAAGCTATTCAGAACTGCTTATTGAAATTGATGCTGGGTCCGTTTTTCATCATACATCTTTTATGACACTGCCTGCCAATGCTATTTTCGTTTCTAGTCATTTGATCTTCTTGTTAGTTTTATTAAGAATGAATGGTAATATTGCCAGCCTGTTGACACAGTTTAGTTAAATTTAAACAAAGACTTTTAATAAGGCCCAGGGCAGGCCGACCATGTCCATGTTATATTGTCTGATAACCTTAGTATCTTTGTATTCCCTTGATGGTTTCATCCTAGAGATTGTCCCAAATGAACGAGACGTAACAGACACCATAGCTCTCAGGTGTCAGCACAAACATACAGACACAGGCGTATGTGTGTCCTGGTATTCATATAGTAAAATGTTTTGCAAAATTACAATTTATCAGTGAAGGGTGTCTCTTACTGTGATTGTAAAAATCAGTTTTTGTGTAGAGTCATGAAAGACTCATTTCAACAAAAGAATTTATCTTTATTAGTTTAATGATTGTAGATTATATAACTCTAACCCCATTTCTATGCCATACATAGATTGTATAACTCTAACCCCATTTCTATATCATGATTAAGGCATGTGACTGATTTCAAACATGTTGTTGTACTGGGAAAAATGTATAGATAACCTCTAACCTCTATGACTTTCATGTATTTACCCCTAAAAATGACTTGGTTTATACTTAATTTGAAAAGATGGGTAACTTTTAGGTAATTAACTGGATGAAGCCAGAGTGTTCTTTTGAGCCATTGGTTGATGTTCTCCGAACTTCTGTTGACAGTTATCCTTTGACAGAACAGAGTTGACCACCGTACACTAGGTGGGCAGCAGTGTTTTCCTGATTTCCTTCTGTAGTTATTGCCAGCTCCTTTGTGAGTCTAAGACTAAATTCCGTCCAGGAAATAAAATACCTAGCAGTACACCTGACAGGTCTGCTTTAGAAGAGAAGGCAACCCTTAGCCGTCTAACTGAAATATAAACATCACATCAATCCAATGCGAACACTGGTGAAATCGTTGGAAAATTCACTGAAGATGTCATTGTTGAAGAAGCAGAATGAATGCTTTATTTAGATGTCATAGCCTATGCCTGGGAAGTGATTTTTCCACTGCTTTTCTGGGCCCAGTGGGCCTTTTGTATGCCTACTATGATCATGGCAACCGTTATTTTGCATTTGACATAAGTATATTACACCACAGCCACGCATTCTATTCTGTGTCCTTAGTCAAACCCAGAATGGTACAGATGCCAAAGTTAAGATGAAATTGTCCCAAAAATGAAACAGAGACATGTCACCAAGAAAAATTAAACCAATAAACAAGTTGGACCTCTTTTAACCTGCATGTATAATAAAATAACCTGTATGTATAATAAAACATTCTTTGGTTACTCGGAGCAAAAGAAAATGTGACATTGTCAGCCCTCAAATATGTGGGGAAATATATCAATTTCCTATTTTAGACAAGTAGCTTTTACAACATGAACTCAGGAAGCACAGAATGAGACATCATAGAACCCTGCCTTTAAGGCAGATTGGTGGTGGTGGTGGTGTGCCGTGGAGTCGGTTTCGACTCATAGTGACCCTGTACAGGGTTTCCGAGGCTGTAAATCTTTATGGAAGCAGAATGCCTCATCTTTCTCCTGTGGAACAGCTGGTAGTTTCAAACTGCTGACCTTGTGGTTTGCAGCCCAATTTGTAACCACTGTGCTACCAGAGTACACAGAGGATAAATTTAACTTTTCAATCCATTAATTAAAGAGAATAACATTTTGACATTGATAATAACTAGTTTATGTTTTATAAACTACTTTATACTAATGCTCTTTAAAATATCATGAATTAACCCATCAGAATTTAGCCAGTATAGATAAAAATTTTGACTATATAAAATAGAAATTCATTTTTATAAACCTTTTAAATTTTCTTTGTCACATCTCTTCATTAAAAAAAAAAAAAAAAAAAACACTTTATTGTACATGGAGTGAAAGTTTACAGACAAGATCATCACCTGTACATTCAACAAATCATACAGTTTGTTTCATCTCAGTGACTACAATCCCCTCCCTGCAACAACAGTTACCCTGCTTCCTCCATGTGGTTCCCCATTTACATCCTATATTTCATCAATGAACAAAGCAAAAATGTGTGATGCATACCTACAAAAACAAAACAATTATACTCATCTAAGTATCCAAAGGGCATATTCTGCAAGCCAGCCTCCTGCCCACAGACACACAGCCTTACTCAGTCCATGAGCCTAGAGCCCAAAGCTGCTCTGTCTCTCTATATGTCATCTTCTTTGCTGTTGTCGTTTTTCTAGGTAGAGGTCTCACACTCTATTCATGCTCTTCCTTCTTGATGGTTCCAGTATCATCTCTTCTGTCATCAAAGATTAACTACTCCCTCCTTTTAGTTACACATTTTCTACAATTACAGTTTTGACAATCACCATTAATCCTGCCAAGTTACTCACAATTGAACCATAAAATCCTATCAGCATTATCTCCCACCATCTTTCATCAGACCCATAGGAAAAAGAGGAAAACTATTTATTGGGAATTCTACTTTACCCAACTCATTCTGAAACTAAGCACACCCATGAAAGCTTATAAGCCAGCCACGTCACACCTTTATAATGCCCTCTTCCCATCTTTTATAACAGTATCTAAATTGCCCATCCCTATGGACTTCTGGTGTGGCGCTGTGGGTTAATGTGCCAGACTGCAAAGCCATTTGAACTGCAAGGTTGGCGGTTCAAGCTGACCAGCTGCTCCTCGTAAACCCTATACAGGGTTGCTAGGGTTGGAATCAACTCAGTGGCACTTAAAAACAACATCAACTTAGTGCACTGAGGAGACAAGCATGTTCCTTGATCTGAAGAATCTTTGTTCTTGTTGCAATTTTGAGCAGCTCTATTTATAAGCAAAAGTGTCCAGTTCATTCAAATTGTAGCAGTTTACACTTGCTTACAGTATCATCTTTATCTGTATCTGGTCAGGTTCTGATCAGTTCAGCCTTAGCTATCCAAGCTAGGTCAAATGGGTACCAGTTGCAAGTTTGACAGTTCACACATACCTCACTGGTCCCTTCACCCTCAAGCCTAGCCCCTAGGTCAGTGTCACATAGTGGTGGTGGTGGTGGTGGTAGTGTTGAGATGTCAGGTCGGTTACAGCTCATTGTAACCCTGTATCAGGCTTCCGAGGCTGTAAATCTTCATAGGAGCAAAAAGCCTCTTCTTTTTCCTGTGGAGCGGCTGGTTGATTGAAACTGCTGATCTTGAATTAGCCGCCCAACACATAACCCACAATGCTCCTAGGACTCCTTATTTCTGTAGTTGTTGTTGTCAGGTGCCATCGC